CCATCCAAGCTGAGCACAGAGACTTTTGCAGTTCTCCAAATCTAGTCAAATAAGGCTGTCTCCTGGCATAGACACAGCTGATCCTCACAGCCAATTGGCCTGGAGGTCAGTTCCTCCCAGTGATACCAACAACAATCAAGACTGAACTACAACAAGGCTGTACACACAGTCCACAAAAATAGTCACCAAGATTGTCCACCTCAGGTAACTGGGAGACTGACCCACTGAACCATATAGGACACTTTAGCACACAAAGCCACCCTGCCAACTCAGGGAAGCAGCGAAAATGCCGAGACAAGGAAACAGATCACAAACGAAAGAAATGGAGGACAAAAAGCGACTGGATATAGAGTTAAAAACCACGCTTATAAGGTTTTTCAAGAATTTCCTAGAAAAGGCTGATAAAATAAATGAGACCTATGAGGATATGAAAAGGGATCAACTAGAAATAAAGAATTCATTGTCTGAAATAAAAAATACTATACAGAGTCCTAAAAACAGAATGGAAGATTGCAGGAATCAAGTCAAAGATTTGGAACATAAAGAGCCAGAGGACACACCTCCGCAGAAGCAAGAAGTCAAGAGAATCCAGAAAGTCGAAGATAGTGTAAGAATCCTCTAGGACAACTTCAAGCCAACCAACATCAGAATTATGGGGGTCCCAGAAGAAGAGAGAGAGCAAGATACCGAAAACATACTGGAAGAAATAGTGACAGAAAACTTCCCCCACCTGGCGAAAAAATAGACTTACAAGTCCAGGAAATGCACAGCACCCCAAACAAAAGGAATCCAAAGAGGACCACACCAAGACACATCATAATTAAAATCCCAAGAGCAAAAGACAAAGAGAGAATCTTACAAGCAGCAAGAGAAAAGCAGGTAGTTACCTATAAAGGAGCACCCATACAATTGTCAGCTGATTTCTCAACAGAAACCATGCAGGCCAGATGGAAATAGCAAGAAATATTTAAGGTAATGAATAGCAAGAACCTACAGCCATAAATACTCTACCCAGCAAAGCTATCACTCAGAATAAAAGGCCAGATAAAGAGCTTCACAAATAAAAAAAAGCTAGAGGAGTTCATCACTGTCAAACCAGAATTATATGAATTGCTGAAGGGGGTTCTTTAGGAAGAGGAAGAAAATAAAGATAAAAATTACGAACAACAAATATGTAACTATCAACAAGTGAGCCGAAACCGGTTTGACTCAGTGGATAGAGTGTCTGCCTGCAGACTGAAAGGTCCCAGGTTCGATTCCGGTCAAGGGCATGTACCTTGGTTGCGGGCACATCCCCAGTAGAGGGTGTGCAAGAGCCAGCTGATCGATGATTCTCTCTCATTGATGTTTCTAACTCTCTATCCCTCTCTTCCTCTCTGTAAAAAATCGATAAAATATATTAACAAGCGAAACTAAAAACCAAGGGAATTAAAAAACCTGATGAACAGTATTAATTGGTGAATATAATAGAACCAGAGGTATGGAAGGGGAGTGAACTGACGAGTCTCAGGGAAAAGGGGAGAGGGGTGTGTGGGACGAGACTGAACATAAACTGTGCACCTATGGATGAGGACAATGGGGGGTGGGGAAAGGGCAGAGGGTGGGGTGGGAACCTGGTGGAGAGGAGCAATGGAGGCAAGGAAAAAAAAATGAGGAACATTTGTAATAATATGAGCAATAAAGATTTATTAAAAAAATAAAATATACTGAATGTCAACTGTAGTTTGAAAATAAAGGATGATTGGGCTGTGCAGAGGAAGTGCTGGGCAGGCGGGGCTTCCTTTGGCTGGATTGGAATGGAGAGGGGCCAGGATGAGGATGGATTTACCACGTTTGGCTGCAGGTTGTCTGTCATTCTCATGCTGCCTCTTCCAAACTTATTTGTGTCAGGATCATATCGGAGGGACACTCTTCAGCCCTGAGATGTATCGTGATAGTTATACACTGAGATCTAAATCCCAAAGGAGAAAGGAAGCCACCGTTGTTAAGCCTCTGCCATGTGCTTCACATTCTACCTTAACCCTGATAATCAGGGTAACCATACAATTTACCCTCCAAACTGGGGCTCCTGAGAGTAAAAGGACAGCAGATACAGATGGAGGCTGTTATGCCGGACAGGCCTGTGTGTGGCCGGCCAGCGGCCTCTGAGGTGGGTGTGGTTTTATCGCATTTTGGAGGCAGGGCCATGAGGCTCAGAGAAGTTCGAAGATCACCTTTAGTGATGTTAATGTAAAAATCCATTAAAACCTGTAAAGGATTTTTGTGAGTTTTTTTGAGCCAAACTATGGACACAGTCCAGGAAGCAGAACCTCAACAGATTGAGATAATGCTCCAGAGAAGGGCGGTTTCTCATCTATTTTTATACATTGCAATCAAAGGAGGGACATAGGTGGGTTACATGAAATTCATTGGTGATAGACTAGAGAGGTGGGAGAAAGCAAAGCTGGGGAAACCCCTGGGATTGGATAAAAGGTAAAATGATAGACACATGCTTAGGTGGATGCAGGCACAATTACATGATTACAATCAAGGAATTGGTGGTCTCTGTCCTGGTGCCCAGGCACATCAGGTTGTGCCCCAAGGGGTCTGAAAAAAGGGAAGTTACCCAGACATTTCAAGGGTATGTTACCATAGATGCAAAAAGACAGATAGGCTCGGTTAAGGTAAAGGTTGACCTTGTCAGTGAAGATACCGGCCCTGCCTGTGCAGCTTCCGACAGGATAGATGTGTCGTCCTGGCTCCCAGCCACTGGCAGGGCGAGGCCTCTTGGAAGGCCCAGGAGAGGAGGCTGTGTTCTAGGGCAGCGATTTTCAACCTTTCTGTCCCGCGGCACATGAACCAGCTACTAATATTCTGCAGCTCACCAAACATACTACATAGTTTGTGCCTACCTGACAAAAAATAGGTGTAATTTTGATTCTTTCACACCGACTGGCTATTGTTACATTGGCTGTTGTCACTTTTTATGTGACAGTCTAAGAGAAAAGAGGGCAGTGGCCAGGCTAAGTTGTCAGATATTGCGGGTGTTAAACATTCTGTGGCCACCGGCGGAGATCCTGCTCTGTGGGGAGATTGCACGGCATCCTAAGAAATTGTACCAGGTCTGCCCTGTGCCTACCGTGTGCTCCATGCATGAGCATCACCGGGCCCTTGTTAGAGAAGCAGGAGAGCAGGTCACTCCGGACTTACTGAATGGGAGTCTGTCAGAGGAGGGGCGGGTGTGGGATTCTGCGCTGCATGCCGGGGTTTGAAAGGCACTTCTGGAAGGGGTCAGAGGCAAAGGTCAGATGCATATCCTCAGGAAGAGAAGCCACTGCTTCATATCAGTTCATTCAGAAATGGTTAAATCTCCTAATAAAAATGGACACATGTAGTGCAGGTGGGAAGGCAGTGAGTAATAATAAAATAATGAAATAAAATGATGAAATAACTAGCATGTATTGACTATTCCCTAGGCCCCAGATTCTGAGCCAAACATGTATATTCTCTATCTGATTGTACTCTTCTAACGACCAATGAGTGGTGCATTACCTCCATTTTACCAGTCAAGAAGCTGAATTCAGGGATGTGAAGAAATGGTAGGGAAGATGCAGATTCTGGCATCCTGCAGTCCTGAATCCACACACTGTATAAACTGGCTCCTGTGCCATTAGCGATCAACTTAATGTTGCATAAATTTGGTTTTATGCCTTCTTTGGGGACAGGATCAATATCGTATGTTGTCCCTTTTGTCCCCTGTGCCTAGCAGAATGACTATACACAGTCGGAACTTGCTATGGAACTGAATCAAAGGAAACAGTTTGCTCCCGGTGCAGGAATGAGATGTAAGATTGGGGGGTACTGAGACTGAATTGAGAAAGTGGTGTCATTTCTGGGATGACAAGCTCCAGGTAGGAGGTAGGTGATAGGTGGAAGCACAGGATGCAGGAAGGAACAGGGTGCTTTACCCCCTCCTGTGCAAAATTCTGATTTAATGTGTTATTGTACTTTTGGGACAGTTATAAACAGTGTTGAATCATGGCAGTGGTCATGGATATCTATCTCATTCCTGAGCTTAAGGGATTGCATTTATCATGAACTGTGGTGCGATTATTTCAGATAGCGTTTATTCTGTGAATGAAGTCCGCTATTTCTAGCTAACTGCAGCGATCTGTGGTTTTCCCATTTGCCCTGTAGCTATGATGTCTATTTTAACAGTAGGTTGTCTAAGATTGAACCATCTTTGCATCCTTGCTAAGAGTCATTATATATTAGCCTTCTGGTAGGTAGCTTAATTCAACCCAATATATTACTTTGGATTTTTCTCTCATAAGTGAGATGGTTGGCACTGTATCCTTAAGATCTGTACAACTCACAGGATCTACACCATTTCCATTTTCTCATCTCCTTCCCTTGGTGACTAATGCGCTTCTTCCTGTTCCTCCAGCCTGATGTTGCCAGCACCTGCACTGTTACCCTCTGTTCCTTCCCTGCTCTTATAGCCTTCTTTATGCAGTGCTCTTGATTGAGGGTGGAGCCAATATCTTTCCAGCCTCCTCTCGTGTTTATAGCAGCCCTGTTCCCAAAGGCCAAAGGTGGGAACAGCCGAATGCGGTCAGCGGAGGAGTGGTGAGCTGGTGGTCCGTCCATACCACGGGCTGTTAGTCAGCAGAAGGACAGCGCTGCTGCTGCAGCACGGGCGAGCCTTGAGAACGTGGTGCTCACTGGAAAACGCCTGCCTTCCCGTGGCCTCTGTGGAAACACGCTCAGAGAGGCGACAACCAGTCTTAGGGGCGGAGGGGAGAGTGGAGGGAGTCAGCAATCCATTTTACCAATGCAGAGCAGAGCCCTATCTCGTCAGTGCGTCTCACTTCGCGTGCATTTTATTTTAATGAAATAAGATCCATTAAGGGAGTGTGGTGCCAAGAGCCCCCCACAGGCTCAAAAGCCACTGCCCGTTGGTGCTTAAACGTTCTGGGCGCTGACAGTCCTCATGCTGAGAGTGCTTTCTCTCTTTCCAGTCAGAGATGCTAAAAACCTTGTCCCCATGGACCCCAATGGCCTGTCAGATCCCTACGTGAAGCTGAAACTCATTCCGGACCCAAAAAGTGAGAGCAAGCAGAAGACCAAGACCATCAAGTGCTCCCTCAACCCCGAGTGGAACGAGACATTCAGATTGTAAGTTGAAATTATTGCAGCCCAGCTTGGGGTGGCCCCGGAGATGGGGAGTTCCTCTCCCAGCTGTTCCCTCCCTCTCTCCCTCCTTCCCTCCCTCCCTCCTTCCCTCCCCCATTTCTTCTCCTACTCTTTTCTTCCTCCTTTTTTCGCCTTCCATCTGCATTTTTGCATTGCAAGCCAAGTAGACATTGAGCCCACTTTTTTAATAGAGTTGAGAATGTCTGTGGTGTGGGGAGTGGGTGGCATATAAAATTGTGTGATGCGTTGCTAGGTGAAGGCAAGTTGTGGGAAGCTCAGGGTCTCGCAAACCCATAGGGTGTGGTGCTAACCTCTCCAGGGCTGAGTTTATGGAAAACGCTGGGCCTGCGCCCGCTGGGCGCTCCTGCCGGCTTCCACGGAGGGTCTTTCCTGGCCGGTGCTCCGAGAACCCGGGATCGTTTATCGCCTCGCCTGGGCCAACAGGAGCCGGTGATATCGGCCTATGCTTACTGAGCACATACTACGTATAACAAGCACCGTATAAGTAACCTGGCTCCGTTGGCCATTTCAGCCCATTTTACCAAAGGAGCTTACAGAATGTGCCCCAAGTCCCACAGCAAACAGCGGGGGGTCGAGGGGGGAGTTAGCCTTTGACAGTGACTTGAGAAGCTGCGGGCTCAAAGCATGATTCCTTGAGGGCAGCCTCGTTCCCTCTTTCCTCTCTCAAAGCCAGTCTCGGGGCCCATCTCCGCCTCAGCGAGGGAGAGGCCTCAGAATATGCATTTCCCCCAGACTAGCACCTACGAGACTCTCCAGCCATTTCCCCAGCCTCTCCTATAACCCATATGTGTGCTAACACCCACACAATTACACAACGACACTGTGTTTCTTTTAAAAAAATGTATTTTATTGATTTTTCACAGAGAGGAAGGGAGAGGGATAGAGAGTTTGAAACATTGATCAGCTGCCTCCTGCACACCTCCCACTGGGGATGTGCCCGCAACCATGGTACATGCCCTTGACCAGAATCGAACCCGGGACCCTGCAGTCCGCAGGCCGACGCTCTATCCACTGAGCCAAACTGGTCAGGGTGATACTGTATTCCTTATAGTGACTCTGTCCACAGGTTTCCAACCACCACGCGCCCTGGTGAGACAGAGGGAGGCAGAGGAGTCGCTGCGACTGCGCCTCCCAGTGCGCAGGCCTCCCTGAGCCACAGGCTGTCAGACAGAGGAGGGCCTTCCTCACGGGGTGGAAACGGGATAGGTTTCTTCCAACAGCGTGTACTCTTCAAAAGGGCCCCCTGCGGGCCTTGCCCTTCTGCACGTTTCATCTGCGTGCGAGGTCGCGGCCGCCGGCACTGACCCCCGTCTCTCTCTGCAGCCAGCTGAAGGAATCGGACAAAGACAGGAGGCTGTCCGTGGAGATCTGGGACTGGGACCTGACCAGCCGGAACGACTTCATGGGCTCGCTGTCGTTCGGGATCTCGGAGCTGCAGAAGGCGGGGGTGGACGGCTGGTAAGGAGGGTTGCTGTGGGAGCCGTGGGGCAGCCGGGCCGTCAGACGTGGGCCGCACTGCCGCCCTTTCCTCCTGCCAGTGCAGTCCCGGCGCAGAGTCAGAGTGGAGGCTGGAGATTGGATTGGCCTCACAGATGTGTTTTATTTGGTCCTCGTGCTGAAAAGAAAGAAAAAGAATTAATTGCCAATATTTTAAAAGTCAAGACTTCCCATAAAAATCTGGACGTAGTTCTTGAAAAACCAGGAAAATCTGGGCACACTGGGCCAATCCAATGAGAACAGTTGATGCGTTAATGTCCCCTTAGACAGGATTCAGTATTTGCCACAGTCCCCACCACTCCCTATTGTCTTACACCAGCCCCACTTCACATGATTATGTGACCAAACTGGCCCCATGGCTGCTACAGCAGCCCTCACAATTTACCCCCCAGATGTGCGCAACCATAGCCAGACCTGGACCCCTTTAAGAAGTCTCCTTCCCAGGACTGGGGCCACGCCTGAGACTCGCTGGCCGGGCAGTAGCATGTCTCTTTCAGCTGGGCTTTTGCCTGGTCCCTTCCCAAGGCTAAAGCTCCTTGCCAGTATTCCCAACAAGGAGGCTGGGCAGCCTCTGGGCAGACGGTCCCACATGGGCTGTCAGTGTGGGGAGTGGTAGCTGCAGCAGCTCTGGCTTCTGGACAAGAAACCCTCGAATTTCTGAGTGGCCTGGGGCCTTTTCCGTTACCAGTGAAAGTCAATCAAACTCAAACTGGTTTAGCAAGAAAGGGAACCGATCCCAGGACCCGCTTGCAAATGCCTTGTTTCTCCTCCTTCCGGCCAGGGCTTCCTCAGACTCTGTAGGCACTGGGTGTCTGCTCCGTCTGTCACAGGAGGCATGTGAGTGGACAGACGTGCTCCGCGGAGCTGGTTCCAGAGGGGTAGGCCTTGAGGAGGAAATCAGAGAGCGGTCACGGCGTGAGTAGACAAGCCAACAGGACAGAGCCCAGGCAAACAAGAAAAGAAAATGATCAGGAGCCTTAAAGCACAAATGGTTAAAACACGATTCTCACGAGGAGACTTTGTCAGGGCTCCCCTAGCTCACAGGGAACCCGGAGGCGGAGCCGCTGGCCCGGGGGGTGTGTGTGTGTGTGTGTGTGTGTGTGTGTGTGTGAATAGGGGGAAGGCTGACATGGCTGGGAGTTGGAGGAATCGGCCGCTGAGCAGCAGTGAGCTGCTGCACCGAGGCTGGGCGGCAGAGCAGCTGGGGGCTCCGGCGGCAGAGCAGCTGCCTGGCCGCCAGTCCGTCTGAGTCCGGTTCTCCTCGGCTCCTCATCTTGTTTACGCTGTCTCCTCACCTCCTCCTGTGTCCCAGAGGTTCGTCTGCGTTATTGTTGTTTTCCCCCAAACAATCGGCTCTGGGGTTTGTGTATCAAGTCTGCGCTTCTTTTCCCCCTTCCTGTAGGTTTGTTTTGTGGCCTTTGAATTTCAGCTGAACACTTTGCTAATGTGTTTTTCCTCTCTTAACCTCTTTGGTGCTTTAAAAACAACGAACAGCCCTAACTTGTTTGGCTCAGTGGATAGAGTGTTGGCCTGCATACGGAAGAGTCCCAGGTTGGACTCTGGTCAAGGGCATGTACCGTGGTTGCGGGCACATCCCCAGTAGGAGGTGTGCAGGAGGCAGCTCATCAATGTTTCTCTCTCATCGATGTTTCTAACTCTCTATCCCTCTCCCTTCCTCTCTGTAAAAATCAATAAAATATATTTAAAAAGTTAAAAATTAAAACAACGAACGGGCTCTGGAGGGAAGGGACTTCTCCCAGTGCTGGCACGTTGCATTCTAGCTGTCGCTGCTTCCTCTGGTGTGCAGGTGCCGTGTTCATTTCCTTCCAGCTGCTCCCACAGGAGCCCTCTCCGCCGTGGGCAGACCCCAGGGCCTCCTGGGACTCCGATGGTACCGCACCCACACAGGCCAGGTTTCTCCCAAACCCACACCTTTCACCACAGGAAGCGCCCATGGCTTCTTGCCGTATCCAAATGCCAGCGTCCCGCCGGCTAGGCTTTGGGGCCACTCTTCGGTAAAACAAGGGTGACTTGGTTAGGAGCCCTGGGTCACTGGGACAGCTGCTCTGTCACTAGGACGGCCGCTGAGTGACTGGCGGAGGCCTCGCTGGAGGCAGGGCTGGCACAGCTGGGCTGCCGCTCGCCCACTGCCTTAACGAGGAGGTGGCACGGCGCCGAGCCTTCATTCTACCGACTGCGTAGACTTGGCACCATTGAGTGGATATGGTTATCTTTTTACAGTCCCTGGTCCTTGAAACCAGTGACATTGGCCTCATTTCTAAGAGAGATCAAGCGTCCTTTCAAAGTGAATTTATTATTAAAAAAAGAAATAACTTAGTGAAAATGATTAGTTGATAATATCCAGGTTTATTGAAATCCACGAAGGTGAGAAAAGTTTGCCCACCCCCCTCCATGCCTCTTCCTCTGACTTTGTGCAGGTTTCCAGAAGCCCCTGCTGTGTCAGGGCACCCTTCTGACTTCTGGAAGACACGGTGCTCTCTCTGTTTGTTTTCCGTTTGGAATCAGTGGGAACTCTGGAGGGGAGATTGAATGTGAAATGTGGAGGCCCTGCTGGCGCCTCGGCCTGGAATCACCGAGCCGGATGCTAGAAGCTGCCTGGGATGGTCTGTGGACGGAGAGGAAGATTGGTTAGGAGGCCTCCTTCGGGAGAGGCGCTGTGGATCTTCCCTTACTGCCTGCCTGCCGGTGCCCTTTTCCCTCCCCGTCTCCTCTCACCGACCTCTTGGTGGTCAGGGAAACGGGAGCATCGGGTTTACTTAATGACGTCACTATCAGTGATGCATGACGGTGTCTGTTACTGAACACGTGCCAAGTGCCAGGACTCTGCTCATTTTTCGTGCATCATCATGTCTTGCCTTCACAATGATCCTACGAGGAAGAGCCTTTTATTCCATTTAAAGATGAGAAAAGCCAAGACTCTGAGGGCCTAACCAGCTGACTCAAGGGGTCCTGGAGACAAAGGCAGGGGTGGGATTTGAACAGAGACAGCGTCCGACTGCAGGACTGGTGCCCCTAGCCACGGAGGGACTCTGTTCCGCTAATCTTTGGGGGGCAGTCATCGCGTGCCCCGTGCCAGGACAGTATGCTGCAGCGTGCATGAAAGGAGAGGGCATCAGTGCCGGGAGAGGGACGGGAATGGCACAGAGACCTTCAGAGTGCTTCCAGAACAGAAATCCCCCAACGGGCAAACAGTAGTGCCAACTTGCTGTATTGAGTGATATAACTAAGACAGTTGAGGGGGGAAAGAACGAGAGTATGTTACATCCTGTAAGCACAGAATGTACATTTTCTGGTGTCCATAGAATAGTTACAAAAATAAAAATATATAGCATACCTGGCTACACACACAGACACAGACATACACACTGAGAGAGACAGACACACACACACACAGACATAGACACACTGACACACACACAGATACAGACCACACACAGACACACCCACACACCCACACCCACACCCACACACACACAGACACAGACACATACACACACAGACACACACACACACAGAGACACAGACACACACACACACACATACAGGCCACACACATACACAGACACACAGGCACACGCACGCACGTGCGCGCTCGCACACGCACACACACACACACACACACCCCAGGACAAACCCATCAGCATGCTGGAGTAGAGCTTTCCCAGGCCGCCTCCCCTGCTCTGCCGATGGACAGGGCTGCGCAGTCACGGATGCGTCCTGGCCTTGTCTGCCCGCAGGTTCAAGCTGCTGAGCCAGGAGGAGGGCGAGTACTTCAACGTGCCTGTGCCGCCGGAAGGAGGCGAAGGCAACGAGGAGCTGCGGCAGAAGTTTGAGGTGAGCGGGCCCCTGCCTGCCCCGGGGAGCCGGGGGCCGGGTGTTCTGGGATGTGGTTGACCCGGGGTGATCGTGACACAGCGGCAGAGCAGTGGCGTGTTTTGGAGGCTGAGCCGGGAGGTTTGCGGAGGGACAGAGTCTGGGTTGGGTGTTGGGAGGTGGTGCTGCCGTGTGGAAAATGGAACTGACTGTGCTGGGGGCTCCATGAAATGCCCGTGGGCGTATCTTCCAAAGCACTCGTACCCTGACCTTGGCCCCGACCTTGGGCTCTAGTGCTGGCTCTGCTTCTGCCTCTGACAAACCCCTTTCCTTCTGCAGGGCCCAGTAGACCCTATTTCCATCTGCCCGAGAGCACCTGGGTGTAGATACATCCCAGTTTCACAGAGAAAGCGTTTTGGGAAGATGGGCTTGAGTCCTTTCATTCTTTGTGCACTGAGGGTTTTTAAAGTTGTTCCGTGAGGGAAAACATGATTTTGTTCATGTTTACCAATTTTAGATAAGCGTTGACAGCCTACTGACTGAAAAAATGTACAGCATAGCTAGAAAAATAGGTCGCCACCACTGCTATCCATCAGAAACCTCACAAGCAAACGAAAAAACGCAGCCAGGGAACGTCCTTTGGACGAGAGGCCCTGGCACTTTGGGGATGTGGAGGGACATCAGCTTGTCTGGGGCATGGGGGCCGCGTCCCTGAGGAAACAGCAGCGGGAGCTACCAAGTAAAGAGGGAGCACACCGTGCACAGGGGCAGCATGTGCAAAGGCCCTGTGGTGGGGCGGGGCGGGGCAGGGCAGCCGCTACCTGAGGCCGACCACCAGGCACTGTCGGAGGGCAGGGAGAGCCAGAGGTGAGCTCAGGCAGGACTGCGGAGGGGGGCAGGTCCAGAAGGGCTGTGCTGGCCTTAGCGAGGAGTTTGCCTTTTATTTCAGGAGCTGTTAGTTTTTCCCCGAATCTGACAGAAATAGCACCCATCTCTTGAGCCTGTGCCCTCCGCACAACCTGGCCTGTGGGGGCAGTCCTGACCCAGTGGGATATCCTCTCCTGGAAACCGGTGGTATGAGCACGCTGGCCTTGAGCTTACGTTGAACTTGGTAACTGGGGTCATTCCCGTACATTTGGGTCAAGGCCAGAAGAGCTGATGGGCAAACTTTCCACCCAGCAGAGCTGAGAACGGGACACAGTCTGATAAAAGCAGTCCTTCAGAGACCATTGCTCTCTCCGTGCCTCACCTGAAGATGAGTTCATTTGCTGTGTTAAGATGTATTATCACTGGGGTGACAGAACACCAGGCAGCATTTCCTTGAGTAAAATGAAGTCGCCATTTTGCAAGATGATGTCTGCTGTCCTCGGGTGGAAGGAACCCAAGGAACACGTTCCGACATGAGCAGAACATGTGCCGGGCCAGTTCCCGCTTGAAGGACGGTTGTTTCGTCTGCGGCTCCCGGCAGGAGCCCGAGCACTGTGGCTGCCGGGTTATCATCACTGGGGCCAGAGCTGTTGCCTACAACGTGTTTCTGACAGATTGGAAGGTGTCCTCAGGCACACAGAGGAGTTTCAGCCGACCTTAAACTTGAGAAATGTAATCCCTGTGCAATAACCAGTTAGCACCAGAATGACTCGGACATTATTTTTGGGTCTCTGATCTGGAAATTCCGAGTGATGGTAAAGTCAAGCTGCTGGAGTTGGGGTAACAGAACGTCACAGCTGGGTGTGTGGGGTGCAGCGACCACATGTGGTCCATTTCAGAAGGTCAGAGTGGGCTCTGGGTGGCCTTTCTTCTGATTGTGGGCTTGCCAATGGGCCAGGGAAGGGAAGGCACCACTTTGGGTGCTCAGAATGGGTTTTCTGGGATTTTTCTAAATAATCTCTTAGAGTTTTTAGATTTAAACATGCGGACTGTGTGCCGTGTATTATTTTAAGAGCTTTAGATACATTAACTCGTTGAGTTTACTCATTTTGAATGGTAGATGCCATCCCCAGCCTCATGTTCCTTTCCTCAATGAGGCCCAGAGGTTCTGCCACCTTTTCACACCCACACTGCTCACTGCCCACCCCGTGGGCCCCCAGCAGGGACTGTAAGGGCTGAGCGAAGGCAGTTTCTCCGGAGGGGGGCCTAGAGGCATACAGAGCAGGGGGACAGGGATGTGCAGGAAGCAAGGGCTGAGTGCACATGCTACAGCCACGTATGCTGTGGGCCACCGGGGTTTGTCTGCTGGGAACTGGACACGTGCTCAGGTTCCCAGTGGAGGGGCAGGAAGCTGAAGTGTCCACTTGCTCCCTTCCGTTCTCGGCTGAGGGCTGCTTCCGGGGAGTAACTCGCCAGCACTTCCCACTCGCCCTGCCAGTGGGCTGTGTGCTCATGCACCGGGGAGAGGAGTGGTCCACCGGGCCCTGCAGGACACCTGGGCCACTCCGGCAGCGGAGCCATTCTGTACCAGGGGTTCAGAGCCAGGCTGCTTGGCTTTGAGCCCCAATTCTGCCCCTACCTTGCTGAGGGCTGTAGACAAGTTACTTGATATCTCTGAGCTTTTGACTCTTCAGCTGTCAACTGGGGACTTGGCACTTCTTGCCTCATAGGCTGCGGGAGGGTTGACTGAGATAACGCATTTAGAATGGCATCTGGCAAGTCACAGCACTCAGATGTCAGCTTCCCCGTTGGAATAAAGCTCGCCCAGAGTGCTCCGGGCTCGGGAAGGGCTGTGTGTGGGTCGGAGCATCTACAGGGCCTTCTGCCTCCACATCTGGGTCCGGGGCCTGCGGAGCTCCTTGTAGGGGTGGGGGTGGCTGAGGAGCCAGCTTACACCAGGACAGGTGTTAGTCACCCGAAAGGAACCCGGAAGCTGCCGAAGCGCCTTCACTCTCCCCTGCGCGGCCGTAAACAGCACTAACTCAGTCCTCGCTCCGAGCGCTTCCAGTGCTCGCTTTCCCCTGAGCGCCAAGTTCCAGGCCTCTGAGCCACAGATGTGAAAAGGCAGCCTTAGTGCACCTAAGATTTATGCATTTCACTCTATCCACCTCAACCTTTAAGACATTAAAACGAAAAAATGGTGGATGTTTTGTCATCATGACAAGCAGAATGCTGGTAGAACCACCTGTAAAGAAGCCCTACACCTGGCAGTTTTAAGGCTCGAAGGAAGGGGGAATCTCACTGACTGAAATCAGACTAGCCACCTCTTCCCCGCTTCCACTCACACGCCAAAGTTTCCCCTCCTCCCCTTCCCATCTCACTGAAAAGCGCCACCACCCTCCCAGGTACTCCACACAGAAGTGGAGCTGTCCTTCACGCCTGACCTCCCTCACCCGGTCCCTGTCCAGCCCTGAGAAGTCTGTCTCCCACGTCTTTCCCTCCACACTGCAGACACTGAGTCAGGCCTGCCGTTTCTCACCGTGATGACTGCAGTCACTTCTTAAAGGTTTCAAACTGGCCTCCTCTGAGTTCCTTCCCTAAACTGAGAGTGCTCTCCCCAGGGCCCTGTGAAATCCTGCTGTGCTCACATCAGCCCAGACTTCTTGATAGTGTGTGCAAGGCTTTCTCAGCTCCTGGCTGCCTCCCAGGCCACGTCTGCCTTGCCTTCAGTGCTCCAGCCAGACTTTAGTCCTTTGAGTGTGTCTTGTTGTTGGCTCAGTAAAGGCATTCTGCTGCTGACTCCAAATTCTTTACCTGGATAACTCCTAAATACATTTTGTGCAGAGGACCCAATTCCTGCTGGGATGCAAATTCTTTGAGCATCTGTATCTGCTTTGCTTCCTCATGGAGCCTTGGGATCTAGGGCAATAACTGGCATGTATTGATAGCAGGCACTCAGTAAGTATTTCTTGAATGATATTAAACCCCATGGAAAATTTTTTGTTGCCTCTTTGTCTAATAAAGACAAGTGAGTAATGCAACAATAATAATGTCTACCATCCATTGAGCATCTATAAAGTGACAGGAATGGTGCTGAGAATGTTGTGATACATTATCTCATGTCATTAACTCATTTTCTTGGGAAGGGAACTGAGATTTAGAAAGCAAATGCAAGTAAGTGCCTCTCTGTGGAGGCGGGCAGTCCTCGTGGATCTTGTGTTCTAGTGTGAGGAGAAAGACAATAAGTTAAGAAACAAGTACATATCTAGTTTGTAAGGTGGTGATAAGTGAAATGAAGAAAAAGTAAATAAGGGGAGGGAGATCGCTGAGAACTATTTCATGTCAGGCACTGGGGGAAGAGCTTTCTCAGAGGTGAGGTAGCTCTGGAGAAAGACCTCCAGGTGCAGGAGACAGAAAGTGCAAAGTGAAAAGAATGTGTTTGGGGCTTTCAGAGAACAGCAATGATGCCATGTGGTCATAGCAAGGAGAAGGGGCTGAAATAAGAGGGTGAAGAGGAGCCAGGTTTTCTGTGGACTTTTCCTGTTTCTCTGACAGAGACAGGAAAGTCTGGGGTGTTTGGTGGAGGAGTGTTGTGAGCCAGAATTACATAGCTTGTCCACTGCCAGAGTTGGGATTCTAAGCTGAGCTTTTAATGCCACAATTTTCTCACTCCTAGAAGCAATCCAGTAACAAGGCCCTGGCAGCTGCAGGTCTTATCTCTCCTTGTTCCAGAGCATTTGCTGCCATATGAGTCATTATTTTACTCCTCACAAAAGCAGGTCCCTCCCCCATTGCACTGAGGACAAACATGGGCCTTACCCATCCATTTATTCATTTAACCAGAAACTATATTTGTTGTCAGGGAAACTATGGAGAATGAGACATAGTCTGTGCCCCCACTGTTTTCAGTGTGCCTGGGGGAAAAGTAAACAGCCAGTTATCATCCAGTAAAAATGGGAGGTGAAATGAATGAAGGGAGCAAATAGGAATACCTAGTTCAGACACAGGGAATCAAGGAGAACTTGCCTGAGGAAGTAAAACTGGGGTAACATTGATAAAAGAAGGAAGGAGAAAGAATAGCCATCCATAGAGAAGCAAGAGCATGTGCAAAGGCCCTGAGGTGGGAGGTGAAAGGATGAAGCTGGGTTGCAGGGAAGAAGCACTCAAGGAGTGATGTGGTGGGAGAGGCAGGTAGGGCCCAATCATGCTGGGCCAAATTGGCCAGTACACGCTCCAAGGTCTTTATCCTAAAAAGGAGTCACCACTGAAGCATTTTAAGCAGGTGGTGACTCAGTTGGGTGTGAGGAAGTGGAAACTTGCTCTGGCTGCATGTGAAGCCCAGTGTGGAGGGAACCAAGGTGACTGTCCAGGTGAGAACTGATGGCAGGTGATGTTGGTGGAGATGGAAAGAAGATGAATTCTAGAGGCCACGAGGAGGAAAAGGTGACTGCTCCTGGTGAGATGTGAGGGCTCCAAGAGAAATGGAGGTGCCAAGGATGGCCTCCAGGTTCTGGCCTTGCAGAGTGGGATGTTGGCCATGGTTTTCATGGGACAGGGTTGTGTGAGTGGCAGGAATGTCTATATGTGTCTTCCTACAAAGGCATCATCAAACTTTAACGATGTGTCTTGTGTTTCCCCCTCCAGAGGGCCAAGATCGGCCAGACACCCAAGACTCCAGAAGAAAAAACCACCAACACCATAGCCAAATTTGACAACAATGGGAACAGGGACCGGATGAAGCTGAGTGATTTTAACTTCCTGATGGTGCTTGGGAAAGGCAGCTTTGGCAAGGTACAGTGTGGTTTGATGGTCATACCTGCTCCAGAGAAAAATTACTAAAAAGGCAAACACATGTGTCTGAGAAGGTGACATACAAACTGAGACCTGAGGATGAGAATGAACAAGCTAAACATTCAAAGAGCTAGGCAAGAACAGCATGTGCAAAGGTCCTGGGGTAGGGAGGGCTTGGCACATTTTAGGAATCATCAGAAGGAGCTGGGGCCAAAATGTCATGAATGAGGGAGGTAGTAGGATGTGAGTTGAATAGATGGGCAGGGCCTGGTCGTGCACAGCCTTATGAGCCAGGGTGGGACTTTGGACTTTACTCACAGTGCAGTGGAGAGCCTCAGAGAGATTTTAAGCAGAAAAGTGACACAATCAGATTTGCCTTTTGGAAAAGATCACCCTTGCAGCCAAGAATGGAGAAAATTCCTTTCATATAGCAGCACAGTTGAAGGCCTTGTAGAGTGGTTCTGGATGCTTTTATAGATGCCTGGAGAGCTGTTTTACTGAACTTCAGATGGTATGATAAGTATTCCCTACTTGTTTAGTGTTGTGTTGAGCCTTTTAAACCCTTTTGTGCCACAAATATGTCTAGTATAAATCTCATACCATGAACGTGGGTGTGCAAAGAATACAAGTTTCTTTCCCATTTCAGTAGCCTAAGTGACGATATGAGTTATCCTTGAGTTGCCCTCACGCTGGTTGTACGCCAGCTGTGAGTCAGCTGGTGAGTCCTGGCACCTGCTTCCCAGAGCACGCTGTGCACTGACTTCTCTCCACACTCCCTGATGCAACCTGCGCTAACCGTGTGCGCCCCTGGCCTGCTGCAGAGGTTCCTCACTCTTTCCAGCTTCCACCCCTCCCATGTAGCAGCCAGAGTCATTTCTTAAAACACTACATTAGGTCAAGGCACTCCCCTGTTTGCAACACTCCAATGACATCTCTTCACAATTAGAATAAATTCTACACTATGTCGTGGATTACATAATTCTTTTTTTCTAACGTATATTTTTATTGATTTCAGAGAGGAAGGAAGAGGAGAAAGAGATAGAAACATCTTTGATGAGAGAGAATCATTGACTGGCTGCCTCCTGCATGCCCTGCATTGGAGATCAAACTCGAAACCCAGGCATGTACCCTGACTGGGATTTGAACTGTGATCTCCTGGTCGATAGGTCAGCACTCAACCACTGAGCCACGCCGGCTGGGTTGGCTTACATCATTCTTAATAATGGCTCTTGATATAAACCCCACTCAATGACTTCCTTTTCTTCCTCTTGCCACCCACTCTGCTTGGTGGTTCTTGGGATTGTGAAACTGACAAAGCTCCTTCTGCCTTAGCGGGTTTGTGGTGCATGGCTGGCTCCTTCTTGTCATTCCCAACTCGACTTCGAGGTCATCTCTTTCGGGAAGCCTTCCCTGCCTACCTCCCCAGAGAGCCACTCATTCATTCTTCACTTTATTTAACTCTCCTAGCACCCATCACCCGAAGCTATGTTCTTGCTTATATTGTTTGTCTTTCTCCTTCTCCTAAGATCTGATCTGCACAAGAGCAGGGACCTTCTCGGTCGTGTTCACCACTGTACTCCCAGCGCCTGTGGATGGCGTTGAGTCAGGGCCGAGACTGAATGCTAGGTTTTCTCTCTGGGGCCCAGGTGGGGATCGGGCCCAGTGGGGGTCTGGCCCACGCGGGAACAGCCTCTCATGGGATGGGTGCTGAGAGCAGGAGCATGCAGTAGGGTTGCTGAGCAGTCCCACGTACTCAGGAAGAAGTTGGTAATGACCCTGGTCCACCCACTGCATGCTCTTTGCCAGCAGCTCTGAGCAGCCTAGATGTGGAGACGTGGGTGGTGGGAGGAGTTTACAGTAATGAGGGAGGTAAGGATTCTGGGATGGGGGATGCCCAATGCAGATCCACGGGAGCCCACCTCCGGCAGATTGTCAGTAAAAGCAGAACAGATAAATGGATGCAGACAGTGTCTAGACCGGTCTGGGAGGAAGTCGGAGCAGGAGGAAGGTGGTAACATGACGAGAAAGAAGGAGTGTGGAGGCCTGGGGCTGAAAAACAAATGGAGGTGGTCAAGAGATTTAAAATGCTAAGAACAGGCATTTGGATCCAAAGTCGAGGCGGTTTCCGTGATGACATGGAAGAATGTGGCCTAAATGAAGAGTTCTCATTGGATGAGGCTTTTGGAAAGTTTTTTAAATTATATTTTTAGCAAGCAATACATCCCTGGTTCCTCATTAAAATTATATTTAAAGGGTAACTATTTTGAAATCTTACTCCCACCCAAGTTTGCATCTTTTCGTGGCCCCACCCTGCTACTGCCCTCCATAGGTTAACACTTTTGTTCATTTAGTTTGCATCTTTGCAGTGTCTCTATGTTAATTTAAAAAGTATAAATGTACATTTTTATTCTTAGCCTTGTACCTCCAAAGTTAACAGTGTAGGTTGGAGAGGTTTTTATTGAGGAATGGAAGCTCCAGAGGGCCTGATGGAAAGGGTTGGGGCTGGGGGAGGGGATGGAGAGATGGGAGAGCGGGCCATTGGGGAGCAGTGAGGGAATGAGCGAGTTTAGATGATATGTCTGCTTGGAAACTGTTATAATAATTGAAAGTTCAGTTTCAGACTGGGGATATGGCATCAAATAAATGACTACAACAGTATGCCATGAAAACAACTGGGTAACAAAAACCTCTGTGATCCTTCAAAACAAGTAGTTTTGTCAACCGAGGTTTTACATGGATGTGGCTTTATTTTTATGTGCCCGAGTTTCACATTTTGCAGTCTGGTTAGGCAGATAAATCACACCCCTTAAAGGGGAGAGCACCCCAGGGCAGCTGCTACCCCCCACATTTTAATGCATTTCAAAGCAAGTTGCAGATGTTGGTACACTGTTCCCCTAAACTCTTCAGCATGCATATCATTGAGCCAGAATTCAGTATTTGTTTTTAACTATTTTAAGAGGAAATTTACATACAATGAAGGACACAAATAAATATAGCGATGAGTTTTGTAAAACATGTACTTTGAAAACCTTGTGAGGATGTACGTATTAATCTAAAACACATGTGTCAAACACAAGGCCCGCGGGCCAAATCCGTCCCGCCAGGCCTTGCAATGTGGCCCGCACCGCGCTGTCATCACTGCACTCCGCTGCGTTTCCATCACAATGACAGTTTATGACTGTTCAGTAATCCATTCGGCCCGCGATTTAGGCTGGATTTTAGATTTTGGCCCCTTCTCTGATTGAGTTCGACACCCCTAATCTAAAAACTCACACAGACGTGATGTGCCACTGAGTCAGATACGCTGAGAGTGCCTACAGAGTAGGGGTGGCCTTGCTGAAGGCAGGGAAGGCCTCTAGGCCGAAGGGACTCGAGCGATATCTGGAGGATTGGCAGGACACAGACCAGGGAGGGAGCATGTGGAGGTCTCTTCCTGGTCAGAGCCCAGCCAGGCTTGGTTGATCTGGGTGTGGCCAGGGCACTAGGCTCCTTTGTAGCTACCCCCTCCCCCAACCCCGTCCCCGCCCCGCCCCACGTATACTGGCTCAGACACCATGGGAGCTTCCTTTTCACTCATGTATCAGAACCAGGTGGGTGTTTCTGGCCTCGCCCACATTCTCCATGTGGTGGTTAAGGGACCCAGGTTCCTTCCATCTCATGCCTATGGCCTCGTTCTGTCTGTCTTCATTTAGAGGCAGAGGGGAAATAGAGTATGGAAAAGGTTCAATTTGCTTCTGAAAAGTCTTAATTTGGAAAAGGTACTGCTGACCCACTGGTAGAGAGAACTTAGTTGCATGACCTTCCCTCATGCAAGG